AGGAGTCAGCCAGACCTTAATAGGAACTGAGTTCTCTCCATTTTTTCCAAGGAGCTCTGGAAGCCGGGCGTACGTCTTCACTGCATCCTCAAAGGATGCAGGGTTCTTGTCGAGAATTAGGTCTCCGTAGAATTTGCAGGAGAACTTATTAGTTACAGCTTTTTCTTCATCAGTGAGCTCTATTTTAACTTTCGCCTCAAAACTAAAGATTGGAATTTTGTTAATTGCAACTTCTGCGCTGGCTCCAATCTTCTGAAGACTGCTGGAATCTAACTTCTCACTGTCAAACACAAAAAAGGCATTTGCTCCGTAGAGTATGCCTGTCACCACATGTGTTGCACTGAAATCTGGACTAAAACATTTAGCGTCCAGTTCCTTCTTTCCAACATGAGACAGAGACAGATGTTCGTATGTGGTTGTGGCTTTGTACTGAAGGGTGATTCTGCTCTGGTTCTTATATTTTTTCGTATCATTCAGATAACTGGCAGATCCTCCAACCTCAACCAGACCACCCAGGATACTGGCTTTAAGGGACACGTTCACGTCCAGCAGAGAAGACTTGGATTCAAGGGTGTCGGATGCAGTAACATGATAAGAGCTGCTGTTCTGAGCCTTAGTAGAACTGTTCTTTTTGATTGTTTCTGTGTTGCAAAGTGTGAAACCTGTAGAATCCGCAAAAACACATTAAATAGATTAGATTTTGCATGGAGTTTTCTCTCTGCACGTACTCCAGCTTCCCATTTTCAAAATATTTGTTTAATATCAGGCAACATTTGCCGCATGAACTTTTCATTAACATGGAGAAGGTCTCTCTCACATTTAAAAATTAGTAAATTAAAGCGATTTATACTCCTCCTTAGGTATACATATATCTTACTCTTCCTGATGCACTGTTTGACCTCTGTGACTGACACTGCTTTAACGCGCCTCACTGCACTGTTTGCAATTCAGCAAAAGTCTTTGATTCAAAGCAAGGAAGCAGCTAAAACATTCAGGGCAGTTGCCCTTGAGGTTCATAATTGGGAAACACAGTTTCAAACCACATCTGTTTCAGTTTAAATAAACTCTAGAAATGAGCAGGTTTGTTCTCACCTGTTATCAGCAGATCTTTGCGAGCATCATACAGCATTCCCAAGGCGAACGGCCGGCCGAGGGCTGCAATCTCAACCTGATTTGAGGTCATGTCTCTGATCTAAGAGGACGGGCAGAAACATCAAGAGGTGAAAACAGAAGCAATTCCAGAACTGTGAAATAAATTTATTATGCTGTTGGATAAAATGATGACAGGCAAACAATTATGAAGCTCTTCAGAAACACGGGGATTTCCCTACCCGATGAAGACGAGTTGTTGAGTTGTTCAGTTAAGTTGTGCTGAAGCTTTTTGACTTGTTTGAATCTTGATTTGGGGTGTGTTCTTAAATCCTTGAAGCTTTTCCCACTGAAGTGTCTGGAACGCCCACTTATTTCACATTGAGAAGTCTGAATGAATTATTGAGGACCTGCTCAAACGCGCTAAAAAAATATGTACAAGAATTCATTCTGGCTTCAATGTCAAGCAGAAATTTGGACTTATTGCTCTCATAAGTCAGCAGAACATTTTCACCCTGCGGCGTTTCAAAGTGTGTGTGTTGGCTGGGCAGAGGGTGACATGTTTTTTTTTCCTCAGGGAGAGATCTACCATCATAGTGGTATGATGTCAGATATTTGATCTGGCCATCAGCTATCTGGGAATAGTTTTGACTTGCCTGAGAAGATTCCTCTCACACAGAGACAGCTTGTTCCACAGCAGCAGCTTCATGTGAAAATGAAGACAGATACAGGCAAAGGTTCCCAATTGACTAAGGCTTCTTCCTGCAGCAACACAGTTTCAGCTGTGAGTTTACTCTGAGCAATTGACATTCATGCAGAGTTAATATTTGATTGGTGTAAGAGTACAGAAACTTCCGTGTGTTAAACTCTGACTCTACTTCATGGTCCTGAGATTGGATCGTCAGTATTTGCAGGATCAACATGTTCGTCCTGATTGCTAGAAGAGTGCCCTGTCCAGAGTGGGATGGAAGCATCTCTCTGAATCAGATCAGGTTTTCCACAAAATATTAGAGTGTTATAGATGCAGCAGACATTTTTTAAGGACATCTAGACAACTCATGTTTCAATGATGAAATTTAGCGAACCATGCTGAGTCCAACATTTTTATCGCAAACTTACTCACCAGACTCTTGTACAGTTATTTGTTTCCTCTCCTTTGCTAATTAGTTCCAAATACAAATGTTTCCAGGACTCGACAAAGCATCTAATTCAATCGTACATGATCATCATTTGGTCGTGCATCTTGGCATTCATTTCTGGAAATTGTGTTGTTACGGTAATGATATAGGTGTTTGTATACTTTTTTAAAAAGATTTTTGTCTGGTTATTCAGGATTGAATGTTATTTTACAGGTTCATGCCTGATATTTGTATCACTTTGCATGTCTGAATAGATCCTCAATATTGTTTGGTTTCTTTGTTTATATGTGCATTTCAGTCGCTAGGATGAAAATGGAGTTTGGACAGAATCTCAAAGTTCATTGGACATATCGACTGACTTTCAATATAATGAGATGTTCGGTTCTGTGCTTTAAGCCAAACTCTCACCTCAGTGAAACAGAACTTATTAAAAGTAAGTCTATTGTTGCCTAAAGTTAAATATTGTGCAGTAATATGTAAATGTTTAGATTGTTGTTACTGCCTCCTCTTTTTATGTATTTTTATTTACTCTTATTTTTTTTTATTATTATTTGTTGCTGTTTTACAAAACTTGGACTATGAGTCTGCAATAAAATCTACCTTAGAATCAACATTCTAAGCTCAGAGTTTTGCAGTAAACAACTTTAATGATCCTCTTGGAAAGCAATCCATTATTTCTTAGAAATAGCTGCTGTTATCCAGATAAAATGAGATAAGCCTTTTCAGCATGTATTGGAATTTATTTTGGTGCCAGATATTCAGGATTAGGTTGACTTGTTGCTTTGCCCAAACAACACGAGGTCCCATAAATTCCAGTAAGGCGCACAGCAAGGAAAGACAGTGCATGTCTCCACCCGTTTTTGACATCACATCATAAAACATGGTAAAACTGAATAGTAATAAATAATTTGCTGCCTGTGTTATGTCACTCCAGTTTCTTATTTTCCACAATATATGAGAAAATCCTGTCCCTCACTGCCGGTCAGCAATTTGCTTTCTTTAGCAGTCAGTGGTGAACTGACTCCTAAGGGATGAACTCCAAAGTGTTTGCTGTCCAAGGTGCATTTCCTTTTAAAACCATTTACAAACACTGATACCAATGACATATTACAGAATTAGAGATAACATACATTTTTTTCCTCAGGGTTTCACAACCACATGAAGTTTCCAGCTAGCCAGAGAAAGAAAAGAAAGGAACAAGTTTGAATCTGTTGCTTTCATAACTCAGCAGATTATTTTCACCCTGTGCTGTTTCAAAGTGTGTGTTGGCTGGACAGAGGGTGACATGTTTTTTAAATTTTCCTCAGGGAGTGATCAACTATCATACACTGATACAAAGAACAATGAACACATCTTGCCATCAGATATTTAGGAAGAGTTTGACTTGCCTGAGAAGATTCCTGTCACACAGAGACAGCTTATTCTCAGACCAACAGCTTCATGTGAAAATGAACACAGATATAGACAAAGGCTCCGATTGACTAAGGCTTCTTCCTGCAGTAACACAGTTTAAGCTGTGAGTTTACTCTGGGTAATTCACATTCATGCAGATTTCATATTTCCAGCATTCAGCTTCTGGACCAACTTCTGTGACAACTGACGATTCTTGGTGACGATTCCTTTCTTGTCTTTTCACTCCATAAAGTTGATCTCGGGCAGTTATCTGAGTCTTTGCAATCACCGTTTGAGGAAATACCTTCTTGGTCAACATCTTTGACTTTATGACTCTCCCCAGAATTTCACATTTCAGTTTGAAGTTCTCGATGCAGAGGAAAAGGTTGTTTCAGATGCTCTTTATGGATAGTTAATTATCTGAGTAGTTTTGTTAACTGATTTCAGCTGTTTTTCATAGTGGAAATGCATTTACGACTTGATGCAAACGATGCAAATCGCAGTTTGTGAACATCAGCATTCTTTGTGGAAGTAGATGTCACAAGCAAAAATCTGGTGGAATGATGTGGTTCTCCACCTGATGACCAACAAACAGATTAAGACACCCTAGTCATGGCAGCGCAGGAACAGGCTTTCAGCACCGGAGCAATAAAAATAGAAATCCACCAAATCAGACATGACCCATATACAGGCTGTACAAAGACGACCTGAGAGAAAGGGTGATAAAAAGAAATACTCACTCTTTCATCACATCAGTGTTCCCTCTTGGGTCCTTAATACTCATTGTTATATCTTACCTTGTAGCTTTACTAATATTCTTGTTTATTGAACACCTTAAAACCAACCAGTCATCATTGACACAATAAGATGATGGATCTGTAACTTAAATCTTGTTGTCTTTCAGAGAGTAAACTCTTAAACAATCCTTGGGAACTGTAAAATTGCAACAACTTCATACACAAACTAGTTTTTGAAATCTTAGATTAATTTTTAACTCCACTTTTGGTTAATTATTACAAACATTTTTGATTGTTATATTGCGTCATTGTCTTTTTCTCCCCTTCCTATATAAGCATCATTTGGTCTATTTGATTTATTTCAGAAGAGACCAAATTATATGGTCATATAAAAAATGTTACAGCAATAGAGTCTCTGCCACAGATATATTTTAGACGTTTGAATTTAAATGATGGCTGACTTACAACACTTGCTCTTAAACTTGTGGAGGAAATAGTCTATCATCTGCTCTTTGACTCATGTAACAGCCAATTAAAATATTGATAAACTGTGCTTTATATGATCACTGGTTAAACTTTAATCAGACATTGTTCCATTAACCCACATTCTCATGAATACATTGTCAAAAAGTCTAAGGTCTTATGGGTATGCGATGTTGACCATTTACTGATTTGTTGGTTATAAAAGTCACAGAAAGACCAGAGATTGACATCAGATCACAACAGCAGAACTCATCGGATCTCTTCCTGACAGTCATCACATTTTTCATCCCTATCTCTGCGGCACAACTAAGAACATGAAGGTGAGTTTACAGCTATTGTTGTTTTGCATTGGTTATGGTGAACCTAAGACATATTGACACCACTCAAAGGATCCCATATCAAATATTTGCCAATTTTTTTCTGGTAAGTTTTTCTTATTTAATTCACTGCATTATCTTCATTGATTTATTTTTGACTTGAAGTTTTTACCCACCTCCCCCACAAGTGAATCTACATTTTGCATGATATAAATTTTGAAACAAAACTTTAACCTTCTCATAAACAAAGTGCTTTCATAGCATTTCTAGTAAAAGATGGAATCTGTTCTTCTGCAGCTGCTGTCAGCTCTACTGCTCTTCCTGATTCCTCTATGGGCCAGCTGTGCGCCTCTTGTCCTTCCTCTGGACTGCAGTGACATCTATAACCATGATAACAGCAAACCCAGCGGAGTTTACACTATCTATCCTATTGGGGCCACTTCAGCTGTCCAGGTAGAGTAAAAAAAATATTAGAAGACATTTAAATATTTCATAACTTTCAACTTTTTCAGTAGAAGGAAAAAGACAACTTGAAAATGTACACAAAAAAGACACACGGAACAGAATTATCTATCTCTCCTATCACAATCTCCAAAAAATCCTAAATCACAATTTGATTTGAAGCTCAGGCTGCTCAAACCTAGATATAATACATCAGTGTAAATCACAGCTGGAAACAGATGTATCTTTGACTTGTGACTTAATGAGTCCCGTTGTTATGTTAACTATTGGATCAACTCCATTGTTTAATGAGTTGTATGAAATAATTCTGAGAGAATTAGCCATATAAAGGCACCTTTAATGATATTACAATATATTACGTATCAGTAACGTAAGTTCAAGTTTATTTGTGTAGCACATTTGAGCAGCCAGGCGGATCAACTGCTTTACATTATAAAAACACAAAATTACCAAGCTTTAAAGAAAACACCACAGACTCGGCAATTTAACAAGCATTATGTTTTAATGAGTGCCATCAACCAAGAAAATCAGAACCAAATAAGATGGAATGTTATGGTCATGTCTTTGATTTTCACATTATTCTTCAAAGCAATGAGCTGAAGTAAATCTTAGGATTTTCTTTCTGAATCAGTTCAACAGAGATGCAGGTCTGAGCACCTTCCTGTTTGTTTCTGCAGGTTTTCTGCGACATGGACTCTTTGGGAGGACGGTGGACAGTGAGTGTCTGAACTCTTCAGTTTCTTATCATCTTCAGACAGATTGAACTTCATTGATACGATCAGTCGCTCTGCATTGAGCTTTGTTATGAACAATCATTATCAGTTCAATATTAGAGTCAAGAACATAATTTTCAGCTGTTTTGTGTGTGTGTGTTTTTAGGCGTTCCAGAGGAGGATGGATGGCTCCGTGAACTTCTACAGGCCTTGGGCTCATTACAAGGAAGGCTTTGGGAATGCTGTTGGAGAGTACTGGCTTGGTGAGACCTGAAACTGAAACAGCCATCAAGTTTAAGAAGAACCAATTATCCATTAAAATATTGTATTTCTTAGGTTTGGAAAAGCTGTTCCACTTAAGTCTCAGGAAAAAGTATGAACTGCTGGTCGACATGGAGGATTTTGGAGGAAATAAGGTGTATGCTCGTTACTCCTCTTTCTCTGTTGGTCCAGAATCTTATGGATATATTCTGCATGTATCTGGATTCAGTGATGGAGGTGCAGGTGAGTAAGTGTTTGAGACATAAGCTCGTTTATATTTTCTCTGATAAACACTAAATAATTGGGCATAATTGTAGCAACTATACATGGCTTACATTTTGTTTCACATATAAAAACTTTACAAAATGAAAGGTAATTCTACTTTGTAGAATTACCTTTCATTTTGTAAGTCTACAGACCGAGTTGATTAAATATTCCTCCTCTCAAAATAGCTCACAAGGCATTCTCTTTGCTACTCTTCCATAAAGGCAAAATTTGTGTAGTGCAACATAAATAGTTGTTTTATCAACAGATTCTCTTCTCTGAAGCTCCTCAATTTAGCCTCACCTCAGTTTTGTCCCTGACCTGTCTGCCATACTCCTTGGTCTTTATGATGGGTTTTGCTGTGTGTGATTTTCTCACTATGCTAGTTATCACATCTCTGAGGTGATCACCACATAAATGGAGCTGCTAGGTGAGCAGCTGCATTTATACTGATATTAAATGTTAAACGGCATTAATTTACATTAAATTACCAATAGAATTTACTCTAACTATTGACTTCTGAAGGCAGTTGTTGCATTTAGTTTCAATTTAAGACATAAAACTAAAGGAGAGTGAAAACAAACAGAGTTGTTTCTGTATAACATCTGAAGTGAAATGTTTCTAACTGTGGGCTAATTTCATCTTTGTTCCTGCAGGAGACTCTCTAACACATCATAATGGATTCAAATTTTCCACCTTTGACAAGGATCAGGATGTTGATGACGCAAATTGTGCCAGATTATACCTCGGGGGGTTTTGGTACAAATACTGTCATCTGAGCAATCCCAATGGGGTTTATCGCTGGGGTGCTGATAGTACTATCTTTGCTGTTGGAGTGGAGTGGTCCACGTGGAAAGGCAACAACTATTCATTGAAAGCCATCAGCTTTAAGATTCGTCCTGTTCAGTAAAATGACAGCATAAGATTAAATATCACCTTATGTTTTTACTGAAGGCCACGGGTCAGAAAATTAATTTCTGAGCTTCAGTCAGAAATTAATTTCAATATAAATTTGAATTTTCACTTCACATGTCTTTAGCTTCTTCCACTACTCTAAATTTAGGTTGTTACATTATCAGAACATTTCCTTTCACTTTGCAGTCTTTGATTCTTCCTAATTTCAACCAATCTAGACAGTTAAATTACACCACATTATCCTTGGCTTTTCAGTTTTGTGCATTTTAATTCTTTTCTTCTTTATTATATAGATTTCTCTGTTATCTGTTGTTGTGGAAGTTACCCAACAATACATTGCTTGTATTCCTTAAAATGTGCTATTGGTAAATTAAAAATAGTATTTCATCTGCTGTGCTTGCACTGTGTGTTTGTGTTGAATACTTTTTAATTAATTGAAATAGTCGCAAATTCCAGTTAAAGTTAGAAGCTATTAAAACTCAATTTTACACTTCTATTTGCTGTGTTTTTTATGGGTTAAAACAAAACATATGCTCATTGAACACAATAATGGATGAGCAATAATCTGTTGAGAGTTGACATTTGGGGATGATGAGAGTTCATGTCTTTTCTGTGGATATATCAGAAGTCACATGATTTCAGGTGAAGTCATGTTTCTTCTGGATGCTCATTGCTGCTGGACAATGAGATTTCTGTTATATTCAGGAGAACATTTTTAATACACTGAATTAATCACAATCAGTGTCATAATGCTAATAATCAGTTCATGTGTGTTGCACTTATAAAAACTACGGAAGTTGACCAAACTGTTTTACATTTCAGCCAAATCCAAACACAACGTTTGCGAAGATTAGGTGGCTGAGTCGTTGGCTGATCAAAACTTCAAGCCCATTTATTTGGGTCCAGATACTTTCTGGAATCTGTAATATCAGACAAAAAAAATCAACATTGAATGTTGTAGAAGCATAAGCAACAGCTTATTCAGTTTTTTTCACTGGATCACTAAATCATGTTGCTTAATATAATTAGATTTCATTTGTTTTATAGCTATGAGTAAAACCACAAAAAAGAGAAAAACACAAAACAAAATTAAAGGTTCACTTACATCTTTTTTTAAACATAAAAGCGTATTGTTCCTTGTAGCCTAAAGAAACAGATTGATTTAATATTCCACCCACGATTAAGGTCTGACAAACTGACAGAGAATAAAGTCAGCCAGCTTCTACCTCTTCCAAAACATGATCAGGTTGTGAAAGTTATCATACAGTGATCTTTAACAGAAACACGAGTTGTGGCTTGTAAATATGGAAAAGAAAGTTTAAAAAACAGCAGTTCACTTGCAGTCAAATCAAAAAGTTGCACATCTACTGCCCTCTGCTGGTGGAACATTCATTAAAACTGTAGATCAGTGCAGTGTATAAACACGTTTTCTAAGGGTCTTTAAATGTGTATGCATGCAATTTTAAATCAATGTTATAAAGTAGACCAGAGTGTCTGCAAATTTAGTGCGAGGAAACTCAAAACCTATTGTAAGGGAAAATAAGATTTACTGTAAACTTATTGGAGAAAGGTCACGAGGTTGATATCACAGACAAAATTGTATACATTTTTGCAAATATTTTATTTATTTTTTTTTATTTTTAAACCTCAAAATAGAAATAGAGATAATGGTTCTTCAAAAATAACAACAAATTTCCCAGATCTGATATTTTTCTTGATGTTGTTCCTTTCAATGATGGCATCGTTAATTTGAAAAAGTAACTAATCGGATTACTTATTTCTCCTTGAAAAAGTAACTTAGTTAGATTACTGACTACTTGATTTGGAAGGTAACTAAGTTACATTTTGAGTTAAGCCATTCTTTTTAGACAATACATACTTTCAGTGCAAATCCAGCCCTTATTTCTGGTGTTTCAGCTAAATATGGAGTTGTGACGTAAACAATATACATATTTCACACCGAATGTATCCTTTTATTGTGAAGGAGAGAAAGTGATGTGAGAAGACACCAACGGTTTTACTTCATTCAAATTTTGGATTTGATTGGAAGACATTGAGAATGAAACAGGACTCTAAGTATATTTTCATCTTTTTCTGCTGACTTCCACAGAGCCAGATTTTGATAGCATCTTTATTAGCAGTACAATTGGTTCTATCTGAAGCTAACTATCAGATCTAAGAGCGGTTTGAAGCTCAGCCGTTGACCTTTGAAGTGCGAACCTGCAGATTGTGTGGAACAACCTTCAAGAAGTAGATAACAGCTGCAGCGTTCAGGGCTGGGAGACATTCTGAACTGTAGAACGCTGCTCAGGTCAATAAACAATCACAAACTTTCTCCACTTTCTCCAGGTTTCTCCGGACCTTCTCAATCTAAAGGTGGGTCAAAACTACCTGTGTTCCTGTATATTTTCTTTTACTTTCTTCCTCATCGTCAGTAAATCTGTCTGTACTTCCCAGAAAACTTCAGGTCCAGGGTGTCAGACTGATTTTAGATTAGATTTAGTGTTCAGAAGAAAGGTTGAATAAGACGAAATAAATCTGATGCAAGGTTTCACAGAGACCTTCACTTTTCCCAACTGATATTTTCTGACAAAAAAAAATGTTTTTTGATTTCACCTTTTCCTCGTGTTTTGCAACAATTAGAGATAATTGTTTTTATTGAGTTTCTTGACGTGCGACAAGTGTTTAGGCAAACTTTGTAGAAATTTATGTTAATTGCTTTATTTTTAAGTCCAACTACTCTTCTTTACCAGATGCAGCAGTTGACACACAGCAGTAAATATTTCCCTGGAAATATTTACCTTTTTCAGTGTTTTTGTAATATGACATCCCTACAGACTGCAGCACATTCTGATAGCTAAATGTGAAATGAAACATGAATGAAATGATGATTTGTTTTCTTCTGCACAGACAGGCAGCATGGCAGCCAGGAGGTGTTCAGCTCTTCAGGTGACGCTGATCGTTCTGCTCGTGGTCATGACAGCCGTCTGTGTGGCACTGATAGTAGTGCTGACAACTGGTAAAAAAGACAAAGGTAAATAAATACACATGAAGATGAAAAAATTATAAACTGTGTCCAGTTCACTAAAAAAAAAACTAGACATTCAGGGAATTCAACTGTCATGTTATGAGATTTTTTTTTGACCCGATGTAGAAACACACAGATATTACATCAAGAAAACAAAGAAAAACTAATCAATTTAACGGATTTAACAGCCAATATTTACATTTGGCTAAAAAATAATAACACAGATAAATACATTTTCTCACTGGTTGTTCTCTACTGGATGTTTTCGTATTTTGTATTGGTTGATTTTGAAAATTTAAACCTGATGAATAGTATGAACATTTATCTCCAGAGTTGAATCTAACCATAAGCAAGACAAGAGTCTTTTCATCTCAGTCAGAATCTCTGTCCTCCAGCCCCAGGGCCTCAGGACACAACTTACCTGATTGGAGTAGGCCGATCTGACTGCACCGGACCGCCAGCTGAAATCCCTCTGGTCAGTATTAAACCATACCAAATATTTGAAGGAGTTCTCTATGAAAATTTTTGCTCACATTAGTTTACGAATGTTTGGAAGGAGAGCTTCAGAGCTGTACAAAAACCACTCGTCCGTCTCTTTATTTACAAAATAACATTTGCCTTTTAATCTCCATGTTTGGTTCTATTTACTTTAAGGGAACATTAAGTTCAGCTTAGCAGAAAGCACATGCTGCCAGCAAGTGTTAGGAAAACTGAAAGTTTTGTAGTGTTTATTGGGAATAATTAGAAATTTGAAGGTAATTGCATCTGTAAGATCACTGTCATCTAACAATCAGCATACTTGCCAGTGTTTTGGTTCTCCATTTGCTGCTGAAACAACTCTGATGAGGTATAAACTGAAGGTGTGCTGCCTCTTCTCAAGGGGAATCTTGTTTCCATGTGTTCTTCAGGATCCTGGACACAAGCACCTTCTCATCATTGGTTGTTTCAGCAGTGGACAGTAGTTAGCAAGCCCTGGAGTGACTATTTTCCAATTAGGCAACCCAGTAGGTGACTCACTGTGATGCACTATATGTTAAAAATGAGCAGCCCTATGTTGTCATATTTGCTATAATTCAAAATTAGGGTTATTTACGTGAACACTTCAAACAGATTCAGGATAGGGTTTGGGTTCGTTCTGGTAATACTGCTTTTTGAGGCGTCCATTGGGGCCTGTGTCAGCCATAGCATAAAAAGCTATGCCAGATAAAATTGCCTATCAATTACCTGGGGGTGTATTCAATAAAATCAAACTGAATACACCCCCAGCCCAGTATTACAAGTCTGCTTACATCAAAATCAACCCATGCCAGATTAACCTTTACTTGTTAATTTGTGTGTTTTGCTTTTGGAATCTGTTTATCACAAGGATTCAGATACCTTTTAATATTATAAAGACATTGTTTCAATAGTTGCTGTTGAGAAATACCACTTTGGAGATATAAATTCATATTTTTTGTCTAATTGGGTTATAGATTCTAGTAAAAAAAAAAGCAATTGGTACTGCATATGTCTCTGTGACAGACATTGTAGTAAAAGAGAACCTAACGTTTCTAATCATTGCTGGTTTTCTGGTGAGTTTTCTGCTTGGTTTCAACACAACATTGGAAATTTCGTCTTCACAGTGGAATCTTTTATGGTTTCTGTGTATGTAATAAGTCCATAAAAATAATTATTTACTGGCACTTTGAAATTATAACAGAATTCAAATGTTGCACTGATAATGACATGCTCATTCTCAGATATGCTAAAGGATAAGGGCAAAGTCCTAAAAGTTAATCTCTAAACATCCTGAAATTTTTGGTCCAATCCCAGGCACCACCAGCGCTAACAAAACAGAAAATCAGATACAGACGATAACAGCAGAGCCTGTCTGAGGTCGCAATTTCACTCAGGGTTAATTACACTGGGTCATTGGTTGTTTACTTCTTATCTGTTAGTTATCAGCAGATTATCACTGAAAAAATCCTTTGACTCTAACAGTGTTTGAATGGTCCTCACATCTGAAGCAGGCCAACAACATCATAAGAAGGAAAGTCTGTAGGAGACAGGACGCCCCTTCACCTGACTGGGCGTGTTAGACTGATATCCTTTATGATGACTCATCAGAAATCTTGCTGAGTTACCAGAAAACAGCAAGAAGATGTTGCTGGTAGGCCTCTCAGCAGGTGGCCTGGTCTAATCTGAACGGGGATGACTAATTTTTCCATACATTCTTCAAGATAGCTGAATGTCTTGTAGTTGAGGCCAATTTATTCTCAAGACACCATATCAGGAGCCTGAGACAGATTCAGAACTCTCCATACAGACCATTGAAACGAAAATCTTGAAGTCAAATTTCTTGCTTGGCAAAATCTTTGTATCCTCTATTCAGAGTCAG